CATTTCTTTTCACACAGAAAAATTTAAACGGTTCAATAAAAACGACATCAGAGTATCTTTTCGTAATCCTAATAAAATTTAAATATATTAAAGTACAAAAGGATATTTGTCCCCATATATCTAAGAGTATTGTTGTTTATAAGATTTCGTGTAGTAATTGTGATGCGTCGTATGTTGGACAGATGGGCAGACAACTGAAAATCAGAATTATAGAACATCGTAATCACATTAGACATAACACTTCTGTCCGTTCTGTCATAACGGAGGCAGTATGATCACATTTCCAATGAGACAATGTTAAAATTTTGAATGAAGAGCCTTGCTATAGGAAACGCTTAATTTCTGAGATGTTCAATATTAAAAAGCAGAAGAATAGTTTAAATTTACAAACTGACACTGAAGGTCTTTACAAGGCATATATTGTAAGTAAAGTTTGACTTTTCGATACTGACAGTCCGTGGTGATCCGTATCAGCAAGCGTACATTATAATCGATACCCAATGTCCAATCTTATATATCTGCGTTCCACTAAACTTTAAATATTTTTATGGGTTTTCATACTTATATGGACACACTTGTTTAAACAATTTACATATGATTTTTGGTGAGTTTTAATTGCTTATTAGAATTCCGGTATGTTAATTTGGTTGTGTTTTTTTTAATAAGAAGTCTTTTTATCTTTTTTATCAACTAGAACTTTTTCCAAAAGATATGAAACACATTTGACTGTTTAATCGTATGTGAACAATGTCCAGTTCTACATCAAGACTCACCCGAACTGTGATTATATTGAATATGCGAACATTTCCGATAATTAATTTTGTACAGTGATTTTTATAATAAGTTAATGTCTGAAGAGGGCTCAATCCGACAGCCGAAACTTGTAATTTATTTGTATAAAATATATTTGTATATAATATATATTTGTTAAACTGAGTTTTTATTTTATTATATTTTTTCAATTTTACTTTTCTCTATTTGTAATTTATTCTTTTTAATTATGTGACAATTTTAAGAAATGTGTTTGACTCTTATTTTGCCCTTTATTGTGATTTATTTAGTTTTTTGTATTTTAAATAATTCAAAAAATATAAGAACTCGCAATTTGTGAGCAAATTACTTTCCTGAAAGTTCAATTTACCTTTCAAAAACTTAGATTGATGTTATACGAGGTGTGATCAAAAAGTAAGGTGACTTTTTGAATTTTGCGCACTCTGTACACTCTAATTAAAACAATTTTTTTTTGTTGTGTTGGTACACTCGTCACGATCATATGTTCACAGTTTTGCTATATAGCATGTGTTGTTTTTATGTGAGAGGCATAAAGGTTAGACTCGTGTTTGCGTGCTCGGCGATTTTTTGCTTTTGAAAATAATAGAGCAGAGAGTTTGTATTAATTTTTGTGTAAAAAATGGTATTAAGTGTTCAAAAACTCTTGAAATGTTGACAGTGGCGTACGGTGAGGCAACTTTGAGTAAAAAAAATGTTTATAAATGGTATAAGTTATTCCAAGAGGGCCGAGAAAATGTTAACGATGAACCTCGCTCTGGACGCCCCAGCACGTCAAAAACCGACGAAAATGTTCAGGAAGTGAAAGAAATTGTGTTGAAAAATCGTCGAATCACGATTAGAGAAATAGCTGATGATCTTAACATATCGTTTGGCTCATGCCAATCAATTTTAACGGATGTTTTGGGTATGACACGTGTGTCAGCGAAATTCGTTCCAAAACTGCGTTCCAAAACGTCGTTACTAGTGAGTAGTTTTTTGGCCAAAAACAATACTATCATCATGCCTCAGCCACCGTATTCACCAGACTTGGCCCCCTGCGACTTTTTCCTCTTCCCAAAATTGAAAAGGCCCATGAAAGGACGAAGATTTGCGACGATTGAGGAGATTAAGGCTGCATCGCTGGAGGAGCTCAAGGCAATACCCAAAAGTGCATTTCAAAAGTGTTTTGACGACTGGAAAAAGCGCTGGCACAAGTGCATTGTATCAGAGGGGGATTATTTTGAAGGGGATAACATAATTTTGGATGAATAAATGAATATTTTTTTATAAAAATGAAAAGTCACCTTACTTTTTGATCACACCTCGTATATCAACCTATCTTCGTATAAATTCTCTTCTTTCTTCTGGCCAGATTGAACCTTTCGTTGCTTCTGGCTTTATATGTTAGAAATCGACAAAAGAAATACTCCTTTTTGGTACTGACTGCTGCTGACTAACATCAGTGACAATAAGATTTTACGCTTTTGTACGATGCACGAAACACGATCGCGTCGCGAAGGGGCCATCATATTAACAAAATTGATCAAATATTAATGCGAACAATAATAATAATAATAACTCTATTAACATATAAATAAATTTCGCGTTATTTTTTATTTGCGTTTATTCAAAATTAAAAATCTAAATATGCGATTAATAATAAACGTAAATTAAAAATTTTTTATATTAACAACGTGACTGACTGTTTTGACTTTTCAAATATTAGAAAATTCAAATATTCAAAACTAGATTAAATTTCTTAATACAGACTTTATAATGTAATCAACAAACTTTAATTTAAGAATAAATGACTGAAAATTACTAAATCAATTATCATCCGATAAAATTTAAGACCCATGTACGTATTTTTAACGATTCGAATGATTCGTTGTTAAATCTCATCTTAAAGCATGCGCAGATGAGAAATTCAGATAAATGATATAAGATCCGAAAGGGATAATTTTCTCTCACATTAATATAAATATATCCCTATCACATTTTGTATATTATTAGAATCATTTTTTATATAATTTATTACTTCAAAATTAAATATTTTAAGTTATGCAAAACTCTGAACGCGATTTTAAAATAAATATTTTAAAATCGTATAATAAAATTCTTCTATTTTTTAATAAAATGTATATTAAATCTTACATGTTACTACTTTAACCGGTATTATATATAAAATTCAGTTACTACATATGGATAAGTTATAAGAGATTAGGCTAAAGTCAGTGCACTGAGATAAATAAGAATAATTAATAATCGTAAGATATGTCTTATAAAAAAGCGAGATCAATAAATCGTGACATGAACTCTACATTAAAATTTTTGTTATTATTTCATTAATAACATGTATACAAATAAGTGTGAGAAGCAATAAAGCGGGCAGTGAGTATATGCAGAAAATGTTTTCAAGTTTCTGACAAAAGATGATCGATTTAGAAAGCAAAATTAATAATTGAAGAAAATAAAGGTAAAGTGATATTACTTTATTTAACGTATAATAAATTTAGCATTAATGTTTTTATAACTTCTTTGTTCTCATTTTGTCGCTTTGTTCATGTTATATTTTATTTTTCACAAAAACATGCAATTACATAAGAGATTCTTACGTTATAATAAAGATTAAAGGATAATGGGTTGGCCATATTCGACGGAAAGATGTTTTTTTGTTAATCATGGGAAAAAAAACACATTTTTTGCTTTTCATTGTAAAAGTCATTTAATATGGTTCAAGGAGATTTGTGTACATTATTTGTTGAATATGATATCTCTTAAATGATCGCCTTGAGCCTGCATGGCGAGTTACAGTGTTGCCACATCTTTCCGTCGAATATGGATCTTTCCGTCGAATATGGCCAACCCTGTATTTCAAAAGGCAGACATGAATCATATAACTCCTAGATATTATTTTTAACTAAATCTTGTGTTCACACATGATATTATATTTTACTTTCCACGGTATTATTTGTGACCATAGTCTCGACTGACGGCACAACTTTGTTGCTGATCGCAATTCGACAGCCAATTATTTTATTTTGACAAAAGTCGATAGTTACTCTAAGTCGATAGCTATTCACTGAATTATCGCGAATTCTTTCTTAACTTAAGTTGGACACCAAGTACAAGCGTGCCGTTCTTTGTTACTCTTCTAAATTTTGAATAATTATTCTCAATATTTCTTTAATGCGACGGACAACAATCGACTGCTCAGCCCCGCACGGACAGCGGGAGTGGGTGATTCGGAGCGGGAATGAATCGGAAGGCAAGAAAACAAATAAGAACTACTTCCTTTTAATAGTAAGAAAATGATAAACATATATTTAATTAGTACTAAAGAGAACGATTACAAGCGTCTACTCAAGTACGCACGTATGTTCCCCGTAGTGAGAATAATTCGTCTCGGCGCGAATATGAGCTCATTATGATTGGACGTGATCGAGTCAGTACAAAAGAATACCCGGAACGTGAACAGGTGATTGTCGCGAGAGTTATCACAAATTCATCAGTCAATCAGCATTTATAGCAATAATCGTGGCTTTCCGCCAGATATCGTACAAAGCTTTTCTCTACCTTACACGAAACGCGACTCAAACGGCGGCAATGCAAGATGGCGAGTTAACATACAATCACATTAACGAGACGCGGTGACTTCGCTGTGGCGAGAGGGCGGCAAGCTTTACGCGGATTGCATACAATAATCTATGTGATTCGAGTGAACAGCTAAAAGATTAATTACTCGCGGTAGCTCCCTGTACGAGCCTCAGTCTTTCGACTCGAATTCGACACATGTTATTCGTTTGAGGTTACGTTGTCACGGATCGGTGGTTTACAGAATTTCTACGCTTATCTCACCGACGACTCCTTTTTCTCATCCTTTCAATAACTCCTTTCTGCTTCTTTCTCTATCTCCGCTCGGCTTACGTTAATAATCGGCAACTCTTAACTCGCTCTCAATGGATCCGGCGTCCTCTCACAATCTGCCCAAGGATCGTGCCATAACATAAGTGATTTCGGCAGGCTCCGGCGGAGTATGCACAGGCCACGATGCTTTTCGGGAGCAAGGCCTCCCGGCGCCTGATTGGCCGATAGTGGCGCCGTGCGACCGCAAATCGCGTGGGGTAGCGACGTAGCTTTCCGCGACTTGGCGCGGAATCCGAATATCGCTCGGGTAGTCTTCTCTTGTCTCACATGGAGCTCTTCCTGCTTGAGGCAGTTCCTTGGGTTCAAGCTCGAGTTTGCCGTTTTCTCGATGAATGTTTTAGCTGGTTGTCCTCTTGAGAAGCTACTTTATCCTGACTCGGCAGCCTCCGTTTTCTCTGTAAAACAAGAGCGGCACTAAAAGGACGTAAGTAATAGGTGCAGGCGACAAGTTAAAAAGAGCGATATGACCTGCGCGCTTCCGCCATTGAGGCGTAGTCCGGAGTCTCTTCGGTGATGTTCCTCTTCAGCGAGGAAGACTAAACAGATAGTCTCTCCATCTCTCGAATAAGATCCTAGGCTTAGAATGGATCCATCTCTCCGGATGATCTTCCTCCTGCGCAGGTATGCCCGTTTCAGGCGATCCGCCACAAACCTAAACGGCACCGATCTCGCCAAGATGGCCGTAGCTTCGTGGGAGACGGTGCGATAGGCTTTTGTCACCCTGAGTGATAGTCGCCGCATAAGCTGCTCCATCGTATGACGCCTGCGCTGGTCCTCGTCCATGGTTTGCACTCAAATCGGTGCTCCATAAAGGACCACCAACATAGACGCGACGCTTGCCCTTCCACGGTCCACCGATATTAGCAGTAAGTCTGCCAATAGTGGCGGCCATCCTCCAAGCCCTAGGGAGGAGGAGGCAAAAGTGATCCCGAAAGTCCACCTTGAATCCAGGATCTAGGTATTTTAAAGTAGACTCTATAGAGACCACTGCCCCTTCCCCCGAAGGAATGCTTCATGGAAAGATGACTACCTCCGTCTTGCCGAACGACATAGCCAGCCCTAGTCCCGCACCAGAGCCTCCTTAAACGAAAGGCCCGTTGTCACAATAAGGGTATCGTCGGCGTAGCATATAGTGGAGCAGCTCACCGGAAACCCCAGACGTAAAATGGAGTTATCCTATGTTCCAGGGTCGATTTTAAGACCGAACCCTGCGGAACGCCGCAAGTCATGGGTGACCTCGTAAAGGAATTATCGCGATTAACATAACATAGCGACCTATTGGACAGGTATCATCCAACACTCGCCTAAGATACCTCGAAACTTCCTTAGATTCTAGGGCTGAACGGGCTTACCGGCCAGGGAGTTGAAGGCATTGGCGATGTCCAACACACCCCTCCATCGTGCACGCCCATATCCACCCACTCTCTCAGACGCCAAATTGTCTATCGTCGAATGGCCATCCGAAAACCAAACTGGTTGTCAAAAAGATCATCGACGGAGTACAAATAGATGTGTAAACGGCACAAAATCCTCTCGAAAAGTTTGCCCATCTCACTCAACAGACAAATAGGCCCAAGGAGGAAACAAGATTGACTTATTCGGCTTTTTGAGGAGGACCAGCCTCGCGACCTTTCAGGAAGGAAAGCGGCCCTTCTCAAGAAAAACAATAAAGGTGCGCGCTAACATATCGGCGAGTAAGTGCGCCGTTCCCCTGATGACTCGCCTAATTATTACGTTCAGGCGCACTCCCAGATGGGACTCTGGCCCAGGCCTCCAGAACCTCCGCACTAGAAACTGCCAAATTTTCCTGCCAGACGAAAATGCACTTACTCCCATCGGCTGGCAGCTGGAAAAAAAAGACCCGCATTATCTCCCTTACAGTACCCGTAGGAAGAATCTCCACTAATGAAAAGATGCCTCCCGATAGCCTGCTTATCACCACTCTATAGAGCACGGGTCGGACTCTAGAGTTTCGAGAAGCTCCCTTCAAAGACGCGATTTAAATTGCTTTATAGCCCTTCTCGGATCCCTCCTCGCCTCGCGAAGCTCCGCTCACAACTCACGCTCGTTCGGGAGAAAGGAATTGCCTACGCGTGCGTCTACGGCAGCCATTACATCGCCCATATGGCCAGGTCGGAGAACTCCCTGAACGTCCTATCTATCATCTTAACATGGCTATCCACAGAGCCACCCACAGGAGAAGGAGTCCATGCCTTTAATGAAGCACCAGCCTCTAGAAAGTCCTAGTTTAATTTCCCCACTGCCCACCTAGGAAAGCATCCCCTAGACGCCGTCTTAGTAATGAGACTTGTCATCAACGTTCCAATCTCTATAAATATATCTATGATCGAATGACGATACTTCTCGGTGCCACCTGCTATCCACGGACGCACTTAGCAGCATTCGAAGTGGCCCAGGACACATCCATACAGAACTCGTCCATCCTGCGCTAGTAGGACGGGACAATATTGGTCCAATATTGTGCCTCAATAGATTAATCGGATAGATCGGAAAATTTTTAGATATTTAAGAAAAACCATTCTTTTCGTGTATCCTCCGAATACTGAACTTTCTCATCACGTCAAGGTGTACTCGTAAAAGGAAAAATATCATCTGATAAATGTAATATACAGCGATTTTCTATATTACTATGCAATTATCGGTTGATTTTTAGAAATGAATATCAAGCGCACGTTTATGACCACATTGCAGAATAAATTCAGGGCAGATAAAAGGGCTGAATCTCTTATTACAATATCAATAAGACATTATTAGAGTTAATGGAATGAGCTAGAGATTAATCAAAAAGGGAAATATTTTTTTTATTAATGATAAATAGTTTCAAAGTTACACTCAATTTTTCATTATATCACAAAATATGCACGAAAAAAAAATTAATTAAATTATTTAATTACGCAAATTATATTAATTATAAAAGTAGGATGTGTATGAATTACGTTATCTGCATGAGAGTATTTATTAACGTTGCTTTTTTATGACTCATGTGACATTTGAAGTATAATCGAGAGTTATACGCAAGTATGAGAGAAATTTTACGTTAAACAAAAATAATTGTTCATAATTATCGCAAAATAGTAATAAAAATTCTGGTTTACATCTGGTTTGATTTCAAATGACTGACCTATACGAAATATCTGTTCCGTGATATACGATTGTCATCTCAATCTTTTTATAAATAATTAAAAGTTAATGTGCAAGTAATCGTATATTGAGCATTCATAAAGTACAACGTTTCGTATTATAATTGGCATTCTTCGCAATAGATTGTATTAAAGACCATTGGTAATTTATTTCTAGAGATTGTTGTTTACCGGAGGAGGAATTCATCAAAGCGGTTCAGTTTGTTTTAGATTCTACTTTCTTTATTTTTGATAGTGTTATATATAGGCAGAATTATGGAACTTCTATGGGCTCTCTGTCATCTCTCATCATCGCGGATCTAGTTGTGCGAAAGCTGGAGGTTAGAGCTTTGTCTTTGATTCGGTTTCCATTACTCTTTTATTATAGGTTTGTTGACGACATATTATTGGCGTCTTCGGTTAGTTCCATTTTTGATATCTTTAATATTCAGCATCCTAGGCTTCAGTTGACTATGAAGGTAAGGGGAGATAGATTGAATTTTTTGGATGTTACAGTGATTAGGGATAATGAGTTGATAGAGTTCAATTGGTTCATCCAAATCACAAGCCGACTTTTTCGGGTAGATATTTGAATTTTTGATCATAGCATCCGATTTCTCCGTTAAAATAGGTACAATCGCGGAATTAGTTGATAGATAGTTTTGCTTTCGTATCCTAAATTTCATCTTGATAATTTGTGTTTCATTATTAAAGTATTGTTAGAGAATGATTATCCATTAAACTTTATATTTGAGAATGTTACGTCCTATAGACGTTACGATTCTTTTCTTTCGAAAGATTTGACTCCACGTCGCGACTACGGGCGGCGTCTATGAAATTCGAGTGGAGCGCGCTGATAACGGTCTAATGGATCTAAAAAGAGGGACCGAGCGGGCTCCGCGAAACTCGTAAAACGCCAATCAACCAAGAAGGAATAACAATTTTAATGCGAGCTCGAAAAGTGACAAGATTGCGTAAATGTATGGAAGTCACGCGATAACAAAATCCTAGTTTATCGTCGGAATGACAATTTCATCTTAGGAAAACAGGCGCGTTTAAAAAATCATAAAACGCATAGATAACTTTCCACGGTAACGTTATCTAAAGTCGGACTCGCGACTGATAAAGGTTGTCTTGCATGTAAAACTACTTGTAGACGATAACCACCTGTTTACCTAACCACATTTTCCGCGAGAATAACAAATTCGTCTGGAGCAATCTTGACTTTTAGAGAAAAACATAAATAATTTTTTCTAGAAATCCCCTTAACGATGCACTTTAGATCAACAATGACAGGACGCTATAAAAATCATAAATCTCGCGAGACATTGCAACTATTGCATCTTAGATAAAGGGCACTACGCCCATTTTTTCGGGTTATAAATAGAAGTCCCGCGGAAGCACAGTTTGTCAGTCCGAGTACTCAGAATAGTCAGCATAGTCGATCTGCGTCAGTTGCAAGAGGGTCAGTCCGAGTACTCAGAATAGTCATCATAATCGATCCGCGTCAGTTGCAAGAGGGGCAGTCAGTGTACTCAGAATAGTCAGCATAGTTAATCCGCGTCAGTTGGAAGAAAGTCAATCCGCGTCGCACCAATTTACCTGTTCCGACTTTATTGGTCGCGCATCTCAATACCCGTCATACGCCTTGTGTCACCCAGCCACCAATCACTGGATCACCTTTTTGGGGTTCTTTGCTTGGACAACGGGCCTGCTAGTCGAGTAACGTCAATCCAGGATCCCGTGGATCAAAAAGTAAGTCGTTTGTTATTCCTTCCGAGCGAACACCTGCCCTCCCCGTAACATACACTCACACACACAACTTGCGAAAGATAATGATATTTTTACTTATCTTCACATTATTACTTACTATAATGTAAATCTAGTAATATCTGTAAGCATAATTTAAATAAATGTAAATTAATTGTAATTGAAAATCGCTGGCTTTCCATCCTTTTTTGTTACCCTTCGCTTCATTCCTCCCTCTAATTCCTAAGATCGCACGAGGTCCAGTCCCGGGTCAAAAGGATTAAGTTCCTTGACCCAAAAAGTAGGATCGACATTGGCATTGTCCTTCAGTAACAGGTGTCATAGCGTCCTTTCGGGACGTTGGCCCGCATTCCGGGATCGAAAAAGTGCGTACGACTCACAGGTGTTCGCCTCTCTGCGTATACCTGTGAGATTGAATCTAGCCGTCCTTCCACACCCTCTCCATTTCCCTTTCTTATCTCATTAACCTCATTTTAAGGATTTGGACGTAACAAGAATAATAACAATCATTTGAAAAAAATTATTATGGCTAGTAATAGTAAGAGTTTTGTTAATGATAATAATGTTAAAGTATAGCCTTCGTGATTCACTGTTCCTCTCGTTCGTGATATTACTAAAAAGTTTAGCAGATTGAATAGCAAGCGTATGAGAGTATCGTTTTATAATATAATTAATACTAATAAATTGCAAGAATTTATTAAGGTGCATTAAGGACCCTTTGCCACGTGTGACAAGAAGTCGAATTTTGTTTATAAGATTTCGTGTAAGAGTTGCGATGCAAGTTATGTAGAACAGACGTGAAGACGAAACAACCTAACTTCTGTTGCGCGGAATAACTCGTCGGACAAATTAATCGGGCCGGGAACGAAAGAGGTTCGTTACGGAGAGAAGAGACGCTTACAAATAACGCATAGAACTGTGTAGTAAAGTGAAATAAAAATACTCTTACAACACAATATGTATGATAGCTCTAAACACAATA